CTCTCTCTCTCTCTCTCTCTCTCTCTCTCTCTCTCTCTCTCTCTCTTTCTTTGTCTCATTCTCCACTCAACTCTCATTGTTTTGATTTTGATTGCAGTGTCTCTGTAATCTGTAGTGTTGCTTTAGATGAGCATTTTATCAAGACTTCAAGGATGATAACTGTTTTTCTTGTATGTGAGTTTTATAATTTTTCCATTGCTCTAAATCTTCCACTGGGGAGATAATTTACCTCTTTCTTGAAATGCTTTGATTCCATTTATTTCTATATTTTGTGAGTACATACATATGTGCATATGTGGAGATCAAAAGACAGATTTCAAGAATCAGTTCTCTCCTTCTACTAAGTATGTCCTAGGTATTAAACTCAGGAATTAATTCAACCTTGGTGACAGTACCCTTACCAGATGAGCAATCTTACTGGCTCTCATTTACTTCTTTAGTAATTATTTTTCTGAATAATGTATTTATGTGAGAATTTGGATATAATTGTTCTAAATGGGATTTCACCAATAATCCTACCAAGATATGATGCCTATACACCACATAATATGATAATCCTAAGGGTTCAGTACTGACACACATACCTAGGTAGTAGCCAACAGATCTCTAATTGGATTTGTGACCAACTCAACAAGAGGAAAACTGTACTTGATGCTAGAAACCGAAAAAACTTCCCAAAGTTAATGAAGTCATGAATCTTGGAGAAGATCCTAAAACCCTTAATTATATTCTAAGTGTTTCTCACTATACTCATAAAGAAGTGAAGCCCCCACCCCTCCTCAAAGATTTACCTTTAAAAAAATTCACTCATTTATTACTGATACATAAAAATATGTCTTGATTTTGTAAACTAGATCTTTACTGAATTCATTTATCAGTTACAATGATTTTTGGTGGGTTTTGTGGTATTTTCTCCATAAAGAATCATGTTATCCTCAAATAAGGATAATTTCACTGTCTCTTTCTTGGTCTGGTTGCCTTTGTTTCTCTCTGACAAAGACTTTCAGGACTACATAAATAAGAATGATCAAAGGAAGTACCCTTATTTTGTTCTGGGAAACTATATCAAGTTTTCTCTATCTCAGACCCATTTTGGTTTAGTCATTTATCTTAAGGATGTTTTAAAATGCATAAATTCGTTTAATCACTATTAACTGTGCTTTTATGAAAAACGACTACACCTCAGATAACAGGAAAGGAAGATGTTTTATTTGCGAAATGCATACCTGGGGGAGTGAAATCAGTCTAACATTGTACTGTGCAGGATAACTGAAAACAGCACAAGGCTGTGTGAATGTAAGACACTGGTTTATCTTCATCTCCCACCAAAGATCTCCTGAGTTGCCTGATGCCACCAAGATTCTAATAATGGTGATGGGAACTAGAGTCCTTTAAACACACTGGGACATAACAGCTTGGATTACATCCTGAACCACTTAAGGGACCTTCAGAGTTCACCAGTACATCTTGAACAACCTAGGGGACCTTGGAAATCTACCAAAATGGACTATGTACTGGAGTTAACAGCCGGCCTTTAATTGGAGGTGTCACAAAGAGTAGAAATAATTAAACTTCAATATTTGTAATTACTATGAGGGGAAAAGCCAAATATAGATTACTTAGGCTCTAGATAGCAACAATAGCTCTATGTCAATGAGTTGAATCAACCTCCACTGTTTTTCACCTTTTCCTTGATTTCCTATACATATATTCACATATATACTACAAACTAGGATCTCTATATGATAGAGAACATATTTTTGTTGTTGTTGTTTGTTTTTCTAAATTTGGGTCGCCTTGCTTAATATAATCCTTTCTAGCTCTGTTCAATTTCCTGAAACTCTCCTTTTACTTTAGAGCTTAGTGAAATCCATTGGGTATATGTACCACAATTTCATTATCCCTTCATCTGTTGATGACTGGTCTCACTTCTTTGCTATTGTGGAATGTACAGCAATAACATGAGTGTAATATGTGTATCTCTGTGGTAAACTGGGAGTTTGGGAAGATGCCCAGGAATGGTACAGCTGAATCATCTGGTAACTTTACTTTTAAATGTTTGAGAAACTTCCATACTAATTTCCATAATGGGTATACTAGTTTATATCTTCACTACTATAGAAGGAGTCTTTTTTACCCACATGCTGGCCAACTTTTGCTATCAGTTTTCTTGATGATAGCTGTTCTGAATCAAGGCAGATGGGACTCAGAGTGATTTAAAATTGCACTTCCCTGATGGCTATGGGTTGGGGTGTGTATGTATGTGTGTGTGTGTGCGTGTGTGTGTGTGTGTGTGTGTGTTATACACATCCATACATGTGCCTGCAGAAGCAGAAAGTACCAGATCCTCTCAAACTGTACTCATAGGCAGTTGTGAACCATTTCATGTGGCTACTAGAAACCAAACTCAGATTCTCTGCTGGAACAATAGTGTTCTTA